AAATCCATGTAGTTTAATTTGTGGCATAAGAACTTTTAACTCTTTATGCGACTTCGAATATCAGTTGTTTATGGACATTCCAGGCCTGACATGGCCTAGTGGTTAGGGCGCCCGACTCGCAATCTGTGAGTTACGGGTTCGAATCTCAATCACCGAACATGCTCGCCCTTTCAGCCGTGAGGGCGTTGCAACGTAACGGTCAACCCATTATTCATGCTCTGTCCACCATGGGTATCGAAACCCGGTTTGTAGCATTGTAAGTCCGCAGACATACCGCTGTGCCACTGGAGAGGATACAAAAATAGAAGTAGTAAGAACAGTAAATATTACAATTAAAATAATTAACGGAAACCAATGAAGTTATAAATTAAACTAACTGTGAAACTAATGGTGGCATCAAACTGCGGTAGTTCATGATTACGTTAAAGAAGTTTTAAAGAATTAAAGTGTACACAGAAAAGTTTTGATAAAACTATTAATTCCATGCTTTTAAGAATCTCATTTGTATTGTTCAGAACAATGTTGACCGATGAGAGCTCCAGTATAAGAGTGCCGAAAGACTGCAATTAAAGAAAAAAGTAGTTAACACAGAGAATATATGGAGTCCCGCGGCGGATCAGAGGTATGTTTACAGACTTACAACACTAAAAGCCGTTGTTTGAATTCCACGCAGTGGACAGAGCGCAGATAGTCCATTGTGTAGCTTTCCCCGAAAAACAACTCACTACCAGTCCGTCTATATTTTTTTTACAATCTTTTGTTATGTTTCAACTTCAGAAGTCTGTGTTTCTATCACTTGAGTATGACCAGCATGATAACCTTGTCCCTAATGGCGTTTTTTTTTTCGTGTCGAAACTGGTGTGTTTATTTCTTGTAACTCTATAGGTAGGTCCTTTTTTTTTCTCGGTAATATGAGAGCTAGGTATACTTCGAAGTATGTTTGTAATAACATGAGAAGTGTGTTAGAAAATGCATAGTCCATATTTACAATAACGAAATGAATGTGTTCTATCCAGTCAGTCTGTCTTGTAATTAATAATTCGTTGTTTCTAAATCAGTAAATTCATGTTTAAATTAGCAATGTGCAAGTCCGTGTCCCTATTTACACATGATACGCTCTTTTCAGTTACAAATTTATTTTTTTGAAAAAGTATTTTGATATATTGAAACTGAAAACATCGTTCTTTCAAAAGGATGACTACGATATATTAACACAAATTTTCGCGCTTGTAGTTAACTGTCTCTGTTATTAGCTAAAGCTCTACTGGTTACATTGTAAGTTCAGTATAAATGTGATAACAGAATTAAAATTAGATGATTCACAAGAATGTTGAATCTAGTAATATTTCCTGTTGTAGTATAATGTAGTGTTTTTCGTCGTGTAACATGTTTAACAAAACAAAACTGTATGCTTAATAATAATGTTAGTTTTGTTTGCTTGTTTGTTGAATTTTGCGCAAAGATACTAGTGGGTTGTCTGCGCTAGCTGTCCCTAATTTTGAAGTGATAGACCTACCGTAAACTTTTGAGATACACTTTCTTAGCGAATAGTGAGATTGAACGTCATATTATATCTCTCCCACGCCTGAAAGGGTCACAGATTACGAGTTGAACGCTGTAGACCCCAGTGTAAAAACGCAACAGTTAATAAATACAGCTTATTTTCTTTTTTGGCCATAATGCTAAGTTAAGAAATCCAAAGAGTTTTAAAAATGTCACTCTGTTAAGAACTGAATTCAAAAAGAAAAATTTTAGTTAGAAGTATCAATAGATGGCGCTATGTCCAATGGTTGGTGTTTAATTTTAATCCATTACAAGCGAAAACTCAGGAGGAATCTGAAAACCTATTTTATGATAAGAAAAGATAAAAAATTCTGAACAAGTTTCATTGAATTCCAACCAATTTCTTTGTAATGCTACGGCTATAGCGTATCATTAATTCAAGGTCTGTCAATAATTAAACAGTGATGTACTTTCCAAGAAGCGAGCGTTCTGTAAACTTCTATCGCCGGATATCAGTAAATAATTTGTTCCTAAGATGGGTTGACCGGATATTGATTGAGTAAAGCAACCGTTACGACTACAGATGCACATAATCACCAAATCGGAAGTAAACATTTAATGCTCATGTTCATAATTTTCTTTTTTCATTTATCAATTACATTCAAATATTTTTCTACTGGACTCAGCAATATATTTTAAATGAGATAACTTGGGTGACAGCAAGAACAAAGTTAATTGTACCCTAACACAAGATAATAAGTTAACTTAATACACCCATCACTTATGCGGTCTCCTTATTTCGTTAAAACAATTGTACGTAATGTATTACGATTTATTCGTGAAATCATATACCATACCTTAAAAACATGTAAGATGAAAAACAGTCAAGCTACAATATAAAATACTTCAATAACCCAATTATTTTTGGAAGGTAAACATTCCTTTTTCAGAATTGAATTGAAGAATTGTAATCTAGTTTCCGAAAGCGGTGGAATCGAGTTTCCTTAGTTGTAATTTATAAAATAATAAATAATTACGAAGTAATATAGTATTTTGAAGGACCTGTATTATATGTATTATATAAAAACTGAGCTTGAGTATCATTTCAGCCACGCATGCATTCCGAAAGCAGCACTTTAGTCAATTCTATCTACTGTTTATTGAAACCTCAACCAAGGCAACGTGAACAAACTTAAATCAATTGTACATATTACACAACTAGAATTCCTATTCACAAAATTAAGTTTTC